TTTACTTAGTAGAATTTTAGTTATGACAAAATGTTTTTTTAGAAACTTGGTTTAAGTGATCTATAGAGAGAGTTACTGCCTATTATTATTATTTTATATAGTATAATAATAATAATAAAATATATTAATTACTAAATTTAATTTAGAACAATATTCTAGTTTAAAAATATAAAAAAATAACTGAGTATAAATAATTATAAATAATTAATTGTATAAAAATTAAAAAAATTCAATTTATTACTATTTCTAATACTAATTCATAAAATATTTTAATTTCTTATAAAAATAATTAACTAATAAAATTTATATATTTTAATTTACTTGCTAAAATATAATATTTTCAAATTAATAAAATTTTTATTTATTATAAAAAAAATTTTTTTAAAAAATTAACTAATATAATAACTATATTTATTGCCTAAACAACTTTATCTATATAACTTTTTTGATATATCTACTGATAAATATTATTAACTTATTTTTACTAACTTATATCATATCTAAAAATTGAAAAACTTATTAACTAATATTAAATATTACTTGTTTTAATAAAGTATAATTTTATATAATATAAGCTAAATATATAGTACAATATATAAATTTTATAATTGTTAATTTAGTGAAAAAGAACTAGTATATTAATTATTAATACTATAATAGTAATATTTTTATATTTTATAAACTTTACTTTTTTTTTACTAAATTAATATTTACTAGACTATTTCTTAATTGATTTAATATTATTATAAGAATTAATAATATTAAACTATATAAATTTAATAAATTGGTTTTCATAACCTAGTTAGATCAAGGTTTTAAAACTTTCAAAAAATTTTTTTATATATTTTAATAACTGAGTAAGTTTTTGTAAAAAATTTTATAGTATTTTATAAAATTTTTATATATAAAATTTAAAAAAAAAACCAGCTAACCAGGTTTGATTTAAAATTTCATGTTATGAAAACCAAGTAATTAAATTTGTATGGCCTTAGTAAGAGTGAACTAATAAACTTTCAAAAGGCAAAATTTTTGAAGCGGTTTCAAGTTGCTTCGAAGTTTAACTCCTTAATTTTGTATTTATGTTAATTTTCCTAATTGTATATTAATGAAAACCTACGTCTAGTAAAAGTTGCGCAACATTCGGATTACAGAGATTGTTCTTCACAGACTCGTTGAATTTTACCTAAAGAATAATTTGGCGAAGTTATACGACGAACCAATAAGTTTTTAACATGGTTACATATGACGTATCTAATTTCATATGTAAAACATATAGAAATTTTTGTGTAACGTTTATGCATAAATCGAATTTTTAATTGACGACATTATTATGATGAATGCAAACGAATGGTTAAATAAAAAAATTCCGATAAATCAAAGAACACGAGCCACAAGTCTTTACATCAACGGACAACGTAGCAAATGTGATCATAGCGATTTTACGCCTGGTTGCAAATATTGTAGTAATTGTAGTCAAATTAATTATAGAATTGCACCGACTTTTGAATTCTATAATACTCTTAATGACTTTGTTAATTTGCAACAATTATCTATTATCGGTACTAAACAGGACGAGCAACAAAAGTTAACAAGTTTGAAGATTGATAAATGTAATAAGTTAACTAATCTTACAATATATTATACTACTCTTACCAAATTAAATATTAATGAGAATATTATGCTCCAAAATGTCGACATTAGCTATAACAACTTATGTAGGTTAAATTTAGATTGTAAACTAAAAAAACTCGACAGATTTAATTTCATTGGCAACAAAGAACTCAGTTTCAACGACATTAGATTAAAAAGTCAAGTAGAAAAATTAACTAGCATTATACGAAATATTAAAGGGGTTGGTCTCGGTGACTTAAAGTTAGCGGCCAAGAAAATTGAAGAGGAAAATTTAGAGGACCAATTAGCTAGTACTAAAAATAGAATGGATAAAAATGGAGCATTATTGTTGGAACTTTTACTAGAAACTCATCAAGAATTAGAAAAAGTTAAAAAAGGATTATCAGAGGTGCTAACCGCAGAAGAAATCCGAGATTTCTTAAGAAAAAAAAGAAGAAATTTATGAATTGGAAGTTCAATTAAATATTCTCAGAATTCAAGAAAGTCAAAAAGACGGCTAAATCAAACTTCTCTTGAACAATTAATCTTTACTTCATAGATAACATGTAAAGTTATTTCAGTTATTTCTTGATCTGTTAATTTTAAAAGTGACGAATGCCACTTTAAACTATAGATATTAATGGGCTTGACGCAAACTTTGGTGAATCTGAATAAATGTTATCAGTAAGGAAATTAATTCAGTTCTTTTCATTTTTTATTTCTTCTGAATTTTCTTTCTCCTCACTTTCCTCTGCAGTTTCATTATCTTCAAAATCCTCTGGGGTAAGTATATCTGCACCTTTTTCAATCTGTTTTAAAAAAGAATTAACATTTTCAAAAATTTCCCTCTTGTAATATTTTTCACAATAAACACATTTCCTATTCTTTCTATTATAACACAAAATATGATACTTATGACCACAAATTAATACTATTTCATCATCTTTACCTAACAGAGATTTACAATAATCACATGAATAGGGCTTTGGCAGGAATGACGTGCTATAAGCTGCTGATAGATGATGTAAATCTACTTCTTCATTCAAAGTAGCAAGGTAGTAAAATTCAGAGTTTTACTTTTTTTTTTTTTATCTTTCATATCTTCAGGTATCAGTTTACTTTTCCCACAGTTATGAAATAAATCCTGAAAATGTTGTAATAAAAAAAGACTAGTTTTCTGATCCAAATATTCGAGCTTTAGTTTGTTATATGGATATCATCATGCTTTATGGTAGTTATTTTTGAATATCAGATTATGATTTACTTAAAAATAAGAAAACAAAAATTAAAAATTAAAATTAAAATTAAATAAAAAAAAAAATTAAAATATAAATTTACTGATAACATAAGCTTGTTTTATTATATTATCAGTTGTTGTGTTCTGAGAAATATTAGCACTGATGCGACTATGAATATTTCCATATAATATTCATTAAAGCTTAGTAAATGCATTTGAATTATATCAAAAAAAGGATAGTTTGTATCTTTCAAATAGAACAAATCCAACAAAAAAGCAAGAGGAGCTTTATTATAGTATTTCTTTGCCAACGTAAGGCAAATATCCAAATCCTAAAAACTACCTCTACATATTTATAGAATAAACTAGACTGAAATAAATTTGCATAGACATTGAACATAGCAGAGACCAAATTATCTAGTAAATCTATTGTGGTTTAAAACTCAATATCTTTATAAGTTTGGCTGAATTTTTCTAAAATTTTATCACGAATTTTAATCTAACTATTTTGTACAAGTTCTAGAATAAGATTTATTCTTTAGAAGCAGGGTTTTTTTGCTAATTTTTTGCATGCACCAAATACAAAGTGAAACAATTTCTCAAAAAAAGAGTAATACACTAGTAAAACTTGTTCCCTGCTATTTAATGATATATGAAAAGAACCTAATATAGGCAAAAATAGCATTATTTCTCATAGTGGTAACTTCTGATATAATATTTTTCTAATAAATAATTGGCCAGACCAATCTGCAACAATTGGCACAATATACCTATCTAAATAATATGTTTTATTATTAATAGCTAAGATAAGTTTTAGAGTACTCAAATAATCTTGAACTAAATGCAAGTATTGTTCTTTAAACCTGACTAACTGAAGTCCTTCTATAAATCGTTCTTCTCTTCATTCTATTAGGTTATCATTGTAATTATATACTATTAATACTTTGATTCAGTTAAATTTATTAACTAAGCACTTTTGTAAAATTCAAAGTAACTTTCATTCTAAATATGAAATATCAAATATCTTATTATAATAGTTAATAAGATACCAGCAGATTCTCAGCACTTCAATATTTTCTAAGTTGTAGATAAATATACCATTATTTACAAATAAAACAGATTAGAAGCCTAAAACAATCAAACTAATAACTTTGAACTTGAAATTAAAAAATGGTTCCTACAAGGCTCTTCTCTATTAACTTCAACTTTATA